TCCCTGAGAAATCTATACTAATAGCTAAAACGTACCTATGAAAAAACCCGAGCAGAGCGAGGGTGAGTCGCTTATTTTCTTATTAATTCTTTAACAAAATGTGATTACTTAATAACTAAGGCTGACAGAAACAAATGCAAGTGTGGTCTAGATTTGACTGTATACCATATTTTGATAGAATGCCCAGCATATAATAATGAGAAACGGTTATGTAATGTACCAAATAATTTAAAGGAATTTTTAAATCAAGATGGTTGTACGAGAATTCTTTAATTTTTGAAAATGATAAATATGTATCAACTGATATAAATTATTGTATGTGACCTGTGTCCAATGTGGCTAATGACCTTAGATGTTAAAAAGCGACCTAAAACAAATAAATAAATAAAAAAAATGATTACGATATCTGATCTTGAGTTTGTTGTTAGGCACTATTGAGAAATCTGAGACAGGTTTTATAAAACTTTACATATAAGTATAACATTCATTAAATTGATATTTTGACCTACCTTAAGATTAGGAAAAAAATAATTACATACTAAATACTTAATATGAAATGTCAAAATAACTTGCTAAAAGTAAAAACAAAAATTTTAATATTGTATTATTATATTTATCGCTTTTTAACTCTTTTTGTGCCAGTTAAACACAAATTATTTTTTGTCAAAGTTGTTTAGTAATTAAATATGAAGCTAAAGCCTTAAGAAGTAATTGGGACATTATTTATCCTATTAGCGATCTATCCTCGCTTGGGTTGGGCTATCCCGAGGTGCCTAACAGTAGCCTGTTTATTACTACTAAATTTCATCTAAATCTATTCAGCATACAAGCACACAAAAACCTTTGCATTTATAATAATACTAGTGACTTACTCTCGCTTCGCTTGGGTTCGTCGCTAGGTACGTTTTAAATAGATATAAATAATTATTAGCCAGCGTTTGCTATGTATATTTTTTCTTGATCTTTTCCGATGTTTTAATAGTTATTCTGCTATTCGTTTTGGAGACAAATCCAACAAATCAAAGATCATAAAACTCGGTCCAGCCGTTCTGAATAGTGTAACTTACCCGACTTTGTTTTATATATTACTTACTAGCGACTCATTCTCGCTCCGCTCGGGTTCGTCCCTAGTTTCTTTTTAAGGTTTAGTATAGATTTCTCAGATATGAGATATTTTCGCGCAATAAAAAGTATCCTATATGTTGACTCGGATAACCAGCTATCATCATACCAAATTTCATCAAAATCCTTCCAGTGGTTTTTCCGTGATGCGGTAACAGACAGACAGACAGGCAGATAGACAAAAATTCTAAAAACTATAGATTCGGCCTCTGTATCGATAATAATGTCTATTTCAATAAGATTTTCCAAAAAATATTGCATGTACAAATTCGGCTCTATTAGAATTTTATTAATATGTATAGATGTATAGATTAATCTTATAGATTTGAAAAATAAATAACCAATGAAGTTTCACTTCTAACGTTTCCATAGAAACTTGAGTAGCTACGTACTTTTTATATTATTTTTTTTATTTTATTTCTCTAAGGGATGATGAACCCGAGCGAAGCTAGGGTTAGCCGCTACTTATAAATATTTAACATAATATTTAAAAACACATTTAAATATTAGTAAAAATAGTAATTTTTGAAAATAGGAATGGAGACAATGTCAACGGTTACTATTGCAACCCAATGCAAGCTGTTACTATGACAACCGTGACGGTTTTTGTGACGATTTCTCGTGACGCGACCTTGAAATTTTACTCTCATACGCGCAAAGAAGTTTCACTTCAAAAATGAAAATAATAGATTTTCAAAGCTCTGATTTCCGGTACATAAATCTTTTGCGAACAATTTAAATTAAATACGCTTAGTTTAGCAATTCTAATTTTTAATAATGAAGATTACTGTTATACATATTCATTTAAAATATTTATGCATTTATTACATGGGCGAAATAAGTGTGGCCATTTTTAATTAACATTGACATTTTAAATAAATTGCGTAAATCTAAGAATGTATTATGTAACCTTGACATTTGAGAGTTAATAAATAGATATACATTTTAAGATACATTAATAATAACAAATAAATAAATAAACAAGAATTGCTCGTTAATAATATTAGATTCATATGCATTTATATTAAAATGTCGATGGAGTTTTTTGACTTGCAATAAAAGAATATATTAGTGAAAATATTTGATATAAAAATTATTTAGAATTATTCAATAAGTACTAGCAGGACCCGCGGCTTCGCCCGCGCTAAAACTACAAAAAAACTTTAAAAAGGTAGGTTTCATACAAACTTTCATCCTCTAGTTTACACCCTTATGTGGTGAATTTCAAAAAATGCTTGCCAATACTCGTATTTATTTAATTATATTGAAGAGCATTAATACCAAGTTTCAAGTAATTCTGATCGTAAATATTTTTTTTGGTTTGTAATATTACGTGTTTTCCCGTGGGAATAAGACGATCTCACGTGGTAAAAAGTAGCCTATATCACTCTCAAGCCCTCCTACTCCACACAAAAAATCACGCTAATCCGTCACTCGGTTTCGACGTGAAAGAAGGACAAACAAACAAACAGACTTTCACATGTAATTGAAAACTACATTTAAAAATGTATCATGCAACAACTTATGATCTTTTATTAATATTAAAATCATTGAACCACTACCTTTACAAAAAAGCTTTCAAGAATAGGATAAATCAAATACGTCACTTTTACCACAGATCATAATATAATACTATAATAGTTGTTTTACTCTGCTTACCAGTTCGTATATACAGTACCGTCAAATAATATGTAAAAAAATATTATGAAATAAAAAACCCGACTGCATAAAAGCTAACAAAAAAGATGAAAACAAGTTCCAACGGAATATAGTATTATCCAGTCGGAGACATACACGTTTCATCCTTGCCGCAAGATGTATAATAGTATATAGTCATATGTACTTCTCCGACTGCATAATACTATATTCCTTCGTGAACTTGTTTTCATATTTTTAGTTAGCTTTTATGCAGTCGGGTTTTTTTATTTTTATAATATATTTATTTATTTGCAGCTTTTTAAGTATTTTTAAAAAGGAAAATTAGCTTAACTGGTTATTAACCAACTTTAAATCATTATATAGCCTAAACTGTTATTTAAAATGAAGAATGATTTTTAAGTACCTATTCCACGATACCCCACTTGACATAGTTCGTCGATTTTCTTTTTATTCTTTTTCACATTATGGAATCTAGCAGCCCCCATATACATTTTTTTTATGTCACATATTTAAGAACACTTGGACTAATGAGACGAATCTAACGATACCTTAATTAAAGAAATCAATCGAGTGGTTTAGAAGATATGAGGGTATAAAAAATATTACACAAAAACATACAAAGATAGGTGCGAAAAACATAACCCTTTTGTTGCAGTCTGGTAAAAACACATAACGCAGTCTTATTGTAGCAATCGTGGAACATTGTAGTGTCGCTTGCGCACACTCTACAGCCAGTATCGTAACTAACCTTTTTGGATCCCAATGCAAAAAAACTGAAGCCTCCCTGTGCCTATTATGAAATAATATGCGGAAAATTGGACACTTTATTCATGCGGTTTTTTTTGAAATAAAAGAATCATCTGTAGCCCGCTGGGGCCCTCTTGAATCAGGGGCCCCATGCGACCGCATCGGTTGCATTGGCATAGCTTTGCAATGGGCTACAGCACCCCCGCTTTATCTACTAGCTATCTATCCACTCCAACGCACAGACAATGCGTGTTGAGAGGCGTTCTCTTAAGCCAGACTTCGTTTTAATTATAATGATAAAAATATTGATAATATAGGTTTTGATACTAACGTAATATATAACGTCTTACTTTCGAATCGGGTGCGTCCTTGGGTACCTACTTAAATTTTTTCCGTTCCATTTTGATTTTATTCCGAATTCCATTAAAGTTATTACAATTTCTGACAGTAAACATATTTTTTATAGGAATAAAAAATAGTCTATAGCCCTAGGCGGTAATATAGCTTCCTATTAATGAAAGAATTCTCGGAATCGAGTCAGTAGTTTCGAAGATTGCCCCCTACATACAAACTAACAAGTTTTATAACTTTATTAGTGTAGATTTTACATATCTAGGTGATGTATAGAGGTTATTTTTTAATCCCAAATATGTAAGGAGTACTATAAACTATTTGCGTTAGACTGCGTCAAATGCCATTTTTTATCAGTGCAGTTAAATGAAAGCTAGTGCTATTTAAATTATCATATTGGTAATGTTTGAGTGTGCGCTCTATTGTCCATTGGACCGATCCGGTGTTTCCGGCAATTACTCAACTAATACTGATCTAGATAACGTTTAATAATTATTTTACGTTATAATTAGGTAAGCCTCCGTCTTGTTCTTTTAAAACTGAGATCGCATGCCAGACTCTTCATGAAAGAACTGAGAAAAATCTGTACAAATGTCTGTTTGGAATGTCAGAATAACAGCTTTTTACTAAACGCATATGAAAGTATACATATAAACTATGGTACTTATAAGAAAAAAAACGACTTTTAAAATTTTTGTCTGCCTGTCTGTTTGTTCCGGCTAATCTCCGAAACGGCTGGACCGATTTTCAATGGCTGATAGCTATGCTATAAGCAGTAACTTAGGCTACTTTTATTTTAGAAAAAGAATCGGGGATCCGCGTAAAAAAAATAAAACCCATGAAATTGAGAATAAAATCCGCGTACCTAGAGCAACGCACAAAGCGAAGAATTATCTGTGATATACATACCATGTCATTATGTAATGTAAGGAAGGCAATAATTAATTATTCAGTGGATGCAAAAAAAAAACGGATTTATGTCATTTTCGTGGATAAAGATCGGAAGTACTCTCCAGTACATACTTAACGATACATTTTATTTTCGCGTCTAAAGATTTTCCATATTAGTAGGTATGTAACGAAATCATTTGGGAAACTAACATTACATTTTTTTTCTCCAGGGCTGTCCAGAACTACTATCGAAACAGATAATCTGGCAAACTTTGCAAGGTGTCGCGTATTGTCACCGACACAACTGCATACATCGCGATGTGAAGCCGGAGAACATTCTGCTGACCAGCGATGGTGTAGTCAAGCTATGTGACTTTGGATTCGCGAGGATGATCAGTGCGTATTATAATTTATTATATTATTATTATATTTTTGCTAACGTCAAAGTTCTTCTTCTATCATCTACTCCGTGGAAAATCCTTTTTTTTTCAGCATAGACAATTATAGATTTCTAGCTGAACCCGCGGCTTCGCTCGCGCTAAAACTACAAAAAACCTGTATAAAAAGTAGGTTTAATTGAAACTTTCATCCATTATTTTACCCTCTTGTAGGATGAATTTCGAAAAATGCTAAAACACGTATTTATAATAACGTGTTTCCCGTGGGAATGAGATAATCTTCCGCAATAAAAAGTCCAGTTTTCCAATTATTTTCACACCAAAAAGCACGCCAATACGTCACTCTATTTCGACGTGAAAGAAAGACAAACAAAGAAAGAAAAAAACAAACAAACACATTCTCACATTTGTAATATTAGTATGGACTAGATACAAAAAGACTGCACGACAACAATTCTAATAGTTTTTAAGTAGGTATCGTTCAAAATAGCTATATTAAATCTATGTATCCCGAGAACATGGCATGTAGAGATGGGCATTTAGAGCTTTGTGAACCGTCCCTCCCCCACTGGACCCGTAATTAAATAATGAATTGCCCCTAACTCATACTAGTATAGTATTATATAATTTGTTCTCACATAGACAGCCTATTAAAAACGATAAATCATACTAATATTATAAACGCGAAAGTTTGTAAGAATGTATGTATGGATGTATGTTTGTTACTCTTTCACGCCAGAACGGCTGAACGGATCTGGATGAAATTTGGCACAGAGATAGATTATAGTCTGGAATAACACATAGGCTATTTTTTATCCTGGAACAATATACGGTGTCCGAGGGATAGATTTGTTTTTATGTGTCTAGAGACGAACCCGAGCGAAGCGAGGGTGAGCCTCTAGTTTTTGATATTTTGAAGGTATTATGAGCTGTCGTCAAAGACATGTCGATACCTATACCTAACAAATAATTCTAATGGATCTATTATTATATTATTACTCGTATATTTCATCTTTGATCAGTTTTATATAAATAACAGAAAGGAAAATGATTTCTAATACTTCTTTCACAAAACAAAAGCTTGGAAAATACTTCAATATCTTTTGTTAAAGAAAATATTACCTTTTAACTTTATTCAAATTTATGAATACAACGTTCTAGATTATTTTTAAGAAAATATTAAAGTTATATCTACGTGGTATGACCTAATTGGCACTAAAATCAAAAATGTAGGTTCGATTCCTACTGCAGTTTCTTTTTGAAGATACGTGAACAGATTACAAATGAATACCAGATAGGCATTAACCGTTCACCCTGAAAGTATTTTTCGTTAAGAACCCAATATTCATTATTAATCGAATTATTATTATTATTACGAAAATTTGTATGTGTGTACGCTTGTTACTCTGTTACGCTGAAACCGCTGAACGGATTTGGATGATAGTATACAAATAGACTATACCTGGAGTAACACATTGGCTATATTTATATATTCCTTTACCTGGGCGAAGCGAAGCGAAGTAAGTCTAGGGTAAGTTCCAAAGTTCCAGGTTCCTTAATTAATACCATTCATAACTTTCACCAGGTGGAAGTTGTTCCTCGGAGTACTCCGTCCATACAATGATCCCATTTGGAATTGATGTTAGAAGACGAGCTAGTAACTATTATATGTAAACTTTTTATTTCATATTGACGACACGTTTGGCTCAGTTTGTAGTGAGTCTACTCGCTGTACCAGCGGGCGCGGGTTCGAGTCCCGCTGGGGGCATTCATTTGTGTGATGAGCATGAATGTTTGTACTCCAGTCGTGGGTGTAACAATATTTAAAATTATATATGTAGTGTATCAACTATCTGGTGTCCATAATACAGGCCTCGTAGCTTACCATGGAACTAGATGGTGCTGTGTGTTTATGTCCCAACATATTATATTAGAATATTTGTATATTAGGTATTGTAATTTGTAGCAGTTATTTTTCATGGTTACGTTAAACCTTAATCGCTTTATTTGTATATATTGTCATCATTTGTTGTACATTGACACTTGAGTCAAGGACGGCTTAATAGCGGTCACGTCACATATTATGCTAGTTTTTATTGAGAAGTGAGAATATATCTGTAAAATAAAATAAATATTAGTATCATACTTGTATAATGTTTTAACTCACGTAAATTATTACTTGTGTGTATTTTTAACTTCTATTTAGAGTTTATTATATAGATATTCAACACTGATTTACATATATGTCTAAAACAGTTTTATTTATAAGTATACGAATTACGAACACTACAGACTTAACTTTTGTCCGAGCCTTTTTGTGAGTTTTGATTTTATTTTCAGTTAGTTTATGTTTTGTTTTTTATAAAACAGTTGTCTACGCTAAAAATATGTGTATTTATTCAGCCTTTTTTAATGTCCAACTGCTGGGTACGGGCCTCCATGCTGGCCACTGTCTTTTGAAATCTTGCTAGAATCTCTCAGACACGCAGATTTCTTCAAAATGTTTTACTTCACTGTAAGACAAGTGGTAATCATTTTGGAAATGATTCGCACATGAAAATATCAGAGGTGCGAGACCCGGGATTTGAGCCCACTTCACTCGGTTTCCCAAGCAAGTGCGTTACCACTGGGCTACCACTACCAATAAGTAATTTTACCAATAAGTAGGCGAGTCTAACTATCGATGCTATATTGCAATAAATAATTTGCGTACCGCTTTTTATCGAAAGCAAATAAATAGCTATTTAAGTATCATAAGTATGTTTTTAAGTTTTTTTCTATTGAAGTAACCTAATATTCTAAATGTATATTATATAGATAGTCACTAACGAGTTTGTAAATTGTAGTATTGTATGTAGAAAGAAAGGTTTCTAAATTATGTAACGTGAAAGTTGAACAGATTAAACAAAAGTTAGCCTAAATATGATGTATCGTGATATGTTATAATTCAAATACGTCGTTGTACTAATGATCTGACTTTTGTACTAAATTCTTTATTTGTAGATTCGTTCAGTAAATACTAGCAGGTCTGCGAGCAGTTGACCTCGTGAGCAAAAAATGCATTTTTTGAAGCTATTATGGTCATCACACCGAAGATTGTCGTCAGATCTTCACCAATTTTTTATGAGACCAACTTAAAGTTACTATCTTTGAAATAAAAAGACCATGAAAATCTGATCTCATAACGCAGAGATATCCAGTAGCTCCCTTTTTGCCTCGTTTTGGAGGAAGTATCTCACCAATCAAAAATCTCTGACGGCCAAAAAAAAATTTATAAAGTCGCTAAATCTGCATACCAAGTTTCGTTCAAATCAGTTGTAAAATACGACCTGTACCAACAATCTGACAGAGGAAAGTAAATTTTGCCAGACTCGAAGCAGAGACGTTTCGCTCTCTCGATCAATGAGCATTAGAAAATTATGGTGTTCAGAATAGCCGCACATACCGCAAAAAAATTTTACGTATTGGACTTGTTCACTGTAAAGTTTAAAGTTAGCTTTGTCTGCAACTGACCACACGGGATTATTTTCAACTAACTCCCAATAATTAATAAACATGACTATGTTTTTTTATAAACAATTAGTAGATCTAGATATAGAGACTCATTCTGGATCTTTCTTCAAAGTTACCTTAAATGTCGAAAGGTAATATTGAGAATATTGAGATTTCTCAAGACAAACAAATATTCCAATAACATTGTTTTGGTTGTAAAATTGGTATCTAAAGCTTCAGTAAAATAAATATCTATCGGTCTTAAATAAACTACTTGTTAAACCTATCAATCGTAGGATCTTCTTTTCTTACCAAAGTTTATTTATAGGTATAATAGAACGTCGTAAATACGACCAAAATGAATCGTTACACAAAAGTGCTACGTTTTTATAAACATTGTACAAGGTGGCAGGTGGGTATTTCTCCGAGATTGCGTTCTTCGTCTGAATTATCTGGCCAAAAATTATTTTCATTTTTGGCCAAATAAATCAGACGAAGAACGCAATCTCGGAGAAATACCCAGGTATCTACTTTATAAAGTACTAGAGCAACTCACCCTCGCTCCGCTCGGATTCGTCCCTAGGAACGTTTTAACGGTTAGTATAGATTTCTCAGAGATGAGATATTTACTCGCAGTTAAAAGTATCGTATATGTGGACCCGGATGACCAGCTATCATCATACCACGTCTCATCAAAATCTATTTAGTAGTTTTCTCGTGATGCGGTCACAGACAGACAAAAATTCTAAAAACTATAGAGTCGGACTCTGTGTCGATAATAATGACTATTTCAATAAGATTTTCCAAAAGATATTTAATGTACAAATTCGACTCCGTTCGAATTTTATTATATGTATTGATAGATATTTCTAGTGAAAATAAGTGAAATGAATGAAATTTCTCATAGAAAGTCCGCTAATCTTCTAGAAAATGGAATTTAATAACATGTTAACCACTAGATACGCAGGTAAATGGGACATTTAATCTACTATAACTAGGACATGTAATCACTAGCTTTTGCTGTAGAAACTATTCATGAATTCCAGAAATTATTTCCTACATACAAACAAACCCATTTCAAGCGTAGATACTGGACAGTAGAAGAATTATGATGTATCTTTATAATATTCGGAGAAGTCAGAAGTAGCACCCTCATAAGTTTTTTTTACTTTAATTTAATTACAACAACAATTTAAAAATATATATTCAAAGAAAGTTTATTTAAATTAAGTTTTTTTTATTGAAATATATGTATGTAGAGTGAGCCAAAACCTTAATCATTCGCCAATTGAAACTAACTGGTTTATATTCACAAATTTTATATCCAATTTAAGCTAAAGTAATCGTTAGGTCTAGATCACTTACATACCAAAATGTGTTTTAAATATATTATATATTTAAACTTCAAAAACATCAAATTTCTATGAAAACGTATTAGAAGCGAAACTTCATTGGTTAATTATATTCCAAATCTGTAAGATTAACAAATTAATAAAAACTTTTAAT